AGGTCATTTCTTTCTGGAGGAAGAGGACGTCTTGATTGGGAAAGAGCAGTTGGACCCTGGTGGTCATATGTGATGCCTGAAAAGAAGTGGGTGCAGCAGAGGCTGGAGTGAGCCTGGGGAGGGTCTTGTAGGGGCAGATAAAGACTTGGAATCTGTCCCATAAAACCTTCCTTGGGGAGGAGGGGGAGAGAGAGAGAGAGACAGAGAGACAGAGAGAGAGAGAGAGAGACAGAGACAGAGACAGAGACAGAGACAGAGAGCCAGTAAGAGAGCACTTACCTTGTAGACTCTTGTATAAGGGCTTGCAGATTCCCAGGTCCTAAACTTCCAACTTTTTATTCATGAGCTTGATGTGTGACCTAGGAATCTGCATTTTGCTAATCACTGGGGGTTCTGATGCAGGCTGCTAGAGCACTTGGGGTTCCCTTTTGGTTCTGGCCACTGGCAAAAATTAACTTCCCCCTTCATGTCCTTTCCTACATGACTTTCCCAGGGCCTCATGACACAACTACCATGCTTTCGGGCTTCCTACATGCTTGGCACTTTGTGAAGCAGTTAATCCGCATCAGCCCTTTTAAGTCATACATTCGTAGTTTTCAAACTTGAACGTGTATCAGAATCAGCTGTGCCCCACCCCCACCGTTTCCCATTCACAAGGTCTGGGGGCATGCCCGAAAGTTTGCACTTCTAACAAGTTCCCAGGTAATGTTGACGCTGCTGCGGGCCACACTTGAGCACCAGCTGTTCTACAACAATTATAGGAGAGACAGGGATTGTTATCTGTCTTACTGGTGAGCAAACCTGGGGCTTGGCTAGGATGAGTAGTTTATCCAGGGTGGTAGAGTTGCAACTGAAACCTATGTCTGTCTGACTCTCCAGTTCAGATTCTTTACCACAATGTCAACCTTCCATTTTGGAAGGCCAGGACTGGTGGATCTCTTTACCTGCTGGGCTTAGGGTCTCATTTCCTAACTGAGGGGAATTGACTTGCTTGTTAGTGCTTTCCTGAATCTCTTCCTACAACATGGAGTCCTGTGCAGGGGGCTGACATCATGCCTGGCAGAGGAGGCATCTGCTTTTTTGCTGCGATTTAAGCATCCTCCAAAGCATCCCTCTGAACCAAAATGCTTCCCTCACCAGGGGTGACCTAGCCCCTCAAATTCCCACCAATAGAGTTACCCTCATGATAAGGTTCTGTCTCCTGGTTGTTTCCTAGTTAGTGTGTGAGCTCCTGGAGGGTATGGACCGCATCCTATTTGCATTTAAAGCTCCCACTGCAGTGCTGGGCTCATACTAAAAGGTCAGTGAGGTGAGTGGATAAATGAGTGAATGAAATATATTACTTGGAGGGTATAAATAATTAGACTTACTACCTGGGTTTAGATTAGTGTAATAGGCAAACTAGCTTAGAAGGTAATAGGAGGGATATTACTTTTGAACACTTGAGGGTAATATAAGGAAATGCCACCTTTAATAAAAGCAAAACTCAGAACCTTCCAGGATTAGTAGGAATCTCTTGGAGGGGAGGGCTGACGATCCACTTGCCCTCATTTTCCTGTGATTGATGCTGCCACACTGGTCCCTGGGGTAAGCTGTTTTCTCACTCTGGTCACAGACAAGATGGACTGGATCAGTTCTCAGGGATAACGCTGAGAAATCAAGGAGTACCAGGAGTTTAGTTAGTCTGGCTCACAGAGCCCACGATTCTGATTCTGCCTTGGCCAGCTGCCTCCCAGGGCTCTGGGCACTGTTGGGTCTGTTCCAGTCCTCCTGGCAGCTTTTGCCACATGGTGGATGCTTTCCCTAATTCACAGCACCAGGAGCACTCTCCTAGATACTTGGGACCTTCCAGATGCAGGCTAAGGGAGGTATTTCTCTCACACTTACCTAGGTCTGCTCTCTTGGGCACTGCTTCTCATCTGGAGACACACATGTTCCCCGGGTAACTACTAACAGAGATAACCTTACTATTCAGGTGAGCCCTCAGTCCCCTCCCCACAGAGGTGTAGCCTTATCGCCAATACTTCACAATATCCTAATGCATTGGCACTAGCAGTCATATGACTTGAATGATGCAAGGTGGCAGGTGGCATGAGGAATGGGTCGGCATTTTCTCGCAAAGGTCAGCAAGTCTGCAGTGTAAGGACCACGGGGGTGAGGCACCAGGAAAAGGGGCAGAGCCCCTGAACACCTACTTCGCTTCTGTAGAATTTTGCTTCCACTAGCCCCGCCTGCAGATTCCTTTAAACCTTGGAAACTCCCTCTTCCCGCCACTGGGTTCCCACCACACGGTGAGGGCAGCCACACTTTAATTATCAGCCACTGCAAGCCCCGGGACCTGCATCAGCAGTCTAGCCTTCACGATGGTCATTAATGCCTCAGATTCTCAATAACACGGTTGTGCTGATGGAAAATGCTGGTGAGGTCCCCATAGATGTCACTGCTTGTTGCTGCACTGATGTATACGGGCCTGTTTCCAGCATAATGTAAAGTCTGGGGGAGGAGCCCAGGAGGGGCAGAGGAGATTCAGGGCTTCCTGCCCCTTTGTTGGTCGTTTTCGTACCGGGACGTGGGGTTTGGGTGCCGTGAGGCTGTTAAGAGAAACCACTGGAGTTGGGGATTTTTGGCGGAGGGGTTTTGTTTATCTTTTCCCTGTTTGATGATTCTCAACTCTGAATGTACCATTTTGTATCCACATGCCATGTTGATTTACTTTTTCCATTTCTTGCAATGATACAAAATGTCTGGGTTACAAAGAATATGGGACTGTATTTCCTTTATGGAGTATCAGAAAGTTACTTGAACAAACACCTTGTTTGCCATTCATCCTTATAATTTCCTGTTTTGATTAGCTGCTTCTACAAATGTGATTCTTAAGAAAAATGTAAAACTTCCATGAAGCTAGCAATATTCCCTTAGATTTATGCAGTAGATATAATATTTAAGCCAATTAAAAATTTTTTTTAAATCACTGCTGTTTGTCACTCTGATTGCTTTGTTTACATGTCATCAGTGTCCAATGAATAGTGTGCATTTCTTCCAGTCTTTGTTAAAACCCAGTGTATGGAAACAGTGTTTATACCAGCAGCTGTTACAAATCTGGGGCTGTGGATTAATGTCAGCTTCTGAATGTAGAGTGCTTTAGTTAATTCCACCCAAGGACAGATGATATCATCTAGGAAGAAGGAATATATTAGAAACTGTCAGCCAGAAGGTAGTAAAAGGAGGTGATATGTTATAAGGAGTACTAAAAGGTCATTCAAAGAAGAGATATTGCTAATAACTCAATTAAAATTTTCACGCTGACATTTTACAAATTTCTGTGTAAGCCCTAAAACATTTTCAAAGCTAGCTAAATTCATCCCCTAGATTGGAAAAACAGGGGTCAAATAGGATTCACACAATTCCTTTGTGAGATGAACAAACTGGGATAATCTCCTTTTCCAGGAAGTTCTGGCCAGCTAATTCAATGAAACTCCTTTGATACTTAGGTTAAAGAGAGGAATTTTGCAAGCACATCTTTTTCTTGGAGATTTTCTGTTTTCCTCTGGTAGGCTTTGGGACAGGGCAACCAAGTCATTTTGGCTCTCAACTTACAGGAAACCAGTATTTGCCAGCCTGGTGCTTCGTTGTAGTTATTTTGTGCAATTTGCTGCCTGGAAAACCAAAGAATCCACATTCTTCTTGAGAACCAAGGGGCACAACAAAGAGTGAGGATAAAGGCCACTCCCAGTGACTGAACCTGCACTTGGAGTAGAAATGCTTCTAGACCAGGTCATGGGATGTGGCTGCCATGGCTGGACAGTCGGGCTGCCTGGACAGAAAACCCGGAAATGGCAGGGTTCATGAGATGGCACCTGATCCACCTACCTGCTGTCCTTTTGGGAAGGGATGATCCCTTCTTGAAGATGTCTTTTCCTGGAGTCCACCTGGCTTCTCTTGGTAGGTTTTCTAGTGTTCAGTCACTGTTATGGTCACTCAGTTCTTCTTGTCCAATGAATGTGAGCGTAGTTCTTTCCTTGGTATTTTTTTCCACAGTCATGGATAAGAAGTGATGTATATCAACGTATTTATTCAACAATTGCTTTAGCTGCCTATCATGTGCTTGGTGCTAAGAGTTTGGTGGTAAGGAAGAATAAACTTAGTTGCTGCCCTGCTGGAGCTTCCAGTCCAGTGGAGGTGAGGGCCATTAAATAGTCACACACACACTCACTGACACAAATGGATGTCAAATCACAACTAGGGCAGGGGCTGGGGAGAAGAAAGACATGGTGCTGTGGTGAGACCTAATTAGGGAGCTTTGGAAAGGCTTCCCTGATGAAGTGATGTCTCACCTAGGTGCTGAAGGGGGCAGAGTTAATCAGGAAAGAGGAGAGGGAAGAGCACTGTAGGCAGAGGGAACAGCAAGTACAAAGATTCTGGGCAGAGCTTGGTGATTACGGGGCATTGGGAAGAGGCCTGTGTGGCTGTTGGGGAGAGAATGACAGAGACAGAGCTGAGCCTGGGGAGGTGGATAGGATCAGTCCATGGAAGGCCTTATAGGCTGTGGTAGGAGTTTTACTTTTAAAAGTATTTAATAATTATAAAGACTACATTTATATTACATTTACACTGAAGCCAAGCCAAACCCAAACTTCCTCTTCTCACAGTAATATAATCCCAATTCCTTTCCTCTTCAACTCTGGGGACCTATATTGAAACCTACAGCTGAGGATTTCACACTGACTTATTATTTTTATTATTTTTGAGATTCTTTCTGCAAAGGTAATTGGCATAGAACTGAGAACAGCAGCTAAAGAGCACCTAAAAGTTTGCTTTGAGCATCTCAAAGGCAGGGTGTCTTAGAGTCAGAAACTCCTGCCTGCTTGTCCCGTCATGGAGCGAGAGATACATGTCTTTGCTATGTACTGTGTACACAAAAGGCACTTAATAAATGCTTGCTGATAAAGGAGAGGTGACATCCAGCACTCAGGAATGCAAACCCAAGTTTTATCTTTTCCAGCCATCTGAATGTTGTTCACAAAGAGGGCCTGGGGAGGAGGGATGGGAACGGCTGCATCTGCTTCACTGTCCTGTATGTGTGCCTGGGCCACCTGATGCCAACTCCATGATGGCACATTTCTTGAGTGCCTTAAGTGTAAGCCAGCTCTTCTCCGTCTTCTGGGGCCCTCCTGACAGTGGCTCTGGAGGACAGTGGTGTGCGGTGAAAGCCCGGTTAATATGGTCTGTAAAGGGAGGTGGAGGCTGCCAGGGAATGCTGGAATGAAGACAAATGCATTGTTAAGTTTTTATGGACCAAGGCCGCACTTGCATTAAGCATAATTTACATAACATAACTAATGCTCAAGGCCAAACAGTCCTTGTGGCCCAATGACAGCCCCTGACAACCGTAGAAGGTGAGGCCTTGTGCAGAGTTCCTCAAGTCAGGAAGCCTCCTCCTTTCCCTTGCTGGCTCAGCATGCTGGTGGCTCACAGCTCTCTCTTTGACCTCTCAAGCTACATGCTGATGACATCAAAGCTACACATTCTCCTTCACAGCAAGCCAGCCAGGTGCTCTGGGCAGAGCTCAGTTGCCACGTTCCTTTCTTTTTCCCTGTAGGGGTTTGCTTCCTGGCATGAACCCTCCCTAAGCCTAGCTGGGAATTTTCTGGGGTTCATCTCGGTCTTATGAGAGGTTCCTGGTTACCCCCTAGGGTTGAGCCAAGTAGGTCCCAGGTTAAGATATTGGAGTGTCAAGAATAGGTTATAATTAGAGCTGCCCGTGTTCCTGGACAGCACACCTGGGAGGTGAGGATGTCGGATGGCATCCCTGGTGTGTTCAGCAGTGGCCTTTGTCTGCACCCATCTTCATTACATGTTAATACCACCAGAGACACTTGGAGGTCGGCTTCTCCACCTCACACGGCAAAGCAATTATCATTTCCTTTCACTGTAGGGGTGAATGTTCGGTATCACATGATGGATTTTTGCTGGTAATCAGAACTTTCTGCCCATTGGTCTTCAGGACATACTTTTGTGTTGACATTTACAAGGTATGTGTCAGGCAGAGCCGAGGTACCAAGTGAGAGAATGAAAGGGGGAGAGGGGGGAGAAGACCATTATATTCAATTTAATGATGACAATTTCCCTACATTTACAACTTCCAGAAGTAAGAGACAATATATATGTGTCTTCTGCTTGCATGCACACTGAAGGAGATGACATGAGGAGATTCTGTTAGCGGGAATGGTGATATATTACCTTAATGATTTCATTGCTTGCCAAATAAAAGAAAAATTCTCGCTGTGGTGCAGAGCCCTGTCCTCATCAAGCTATTCATTGTGAGGCATTTGTTGTTAAATTGGAGGCATAAGGAGGAATTCTGACCTTCCGTAAGCTGCTTTCGGATTTTTATTTTTTCTTGACTACCTTGACAGTCTGATTCTTCTCAGTTTACAGGGCATGCATAAGCATTTGTGTATCTAATATTGAAGCTCATTAATGAATTTGAAGAGCTCTTAGATTTGGGCAGGTGGGTGTTGAATTAATGGAAAATTTCACAGTAGAGTTCATTGAAAGCTCTCCTTCACTATTATACTAGTGATTGGAAGGGCGGGTGACTATGTATCCATGTATGTGGGTAGGGGGGTATTATAATGTGAATTGTGGATAATTTGAAAAAAACCCCCAGTACTATATGTGGGAGGTTTAAGCTGAGGTGGGATCCTGTCTAGGTAGGCTCCAAGGAGCCATTTTTTCAGGGCTGCTGGAGGGTAGATAATATGAGTTGTAGACGAGGAGCGGCCCAAGGTCTTAGTGGGAGAACAGTACCAGTTGACAAGTCCTGTGGTCCAGTCAAGGCAGGTGAAGAACCAAGAAGAAGGTAGGAAGCTGGTAGGACTTGGAGCCAGTGAGGGTGAGATCATGGATAGGTTTGTGGCTAGATCTAGAGCCAGGAGTCTTAGAAGCTTCTAGATTTATTATTATATGAACCTGACCATGACTGCTTAAAGGAGTGATGCACGGCCTGACTGTAATGGCATGATTGTCAGACACTTACTTTGTGCAGTCTGCTTTTTCTAGTAGGCTATCTAGATTTCCAAAGTAGTGTAGTGTATGTTTGTACGGTAGAGCTTAAAAGCTCAAAGGGATTTTTAAGGTCATGGAAGTCATGAGATCAGAAGACTTGGAGAGGGCAGCAGGCCTACCCAAGGCCTCTTAGGGTATCACTGACCTTCCTTATCCAGGGATGTTGCTACCACATCCTGTTTCCATTTATTTGATTGAAATGGTTCTGCAGAAGCTGGGTTGTTTGCACACCTGGCAGGCCCTGTTCCTGCATGTACTGGCCAAGTCTGGAGCTGGACCCAGTAACCCTACTTTGGACATATTCCTCTTAGAGCTTATTTTTACCTACTAGTTGTATGACTTTGGACCGTGACTTCACCTTTCCAAGTCTAGTTTTTTCATCAGGAGAATGTTAGGTCTCTGCGCACCCTTTCAGCTCAAGCATAGTATATTCTGTAACCATTGCTGCGTATCCAAGTAGGCCCAGTTAGAAGCTCTTGTAGCCATCCATTTGATTGGAGTCAGCCTCACAGAACCTATGGAAAAAGAAATGATATTGATTCTTTGATTCTTCACCCATCTGAAAGATCTCACAGAAGAGTCCTCTAAGATGTAAGCTCCTTGAGGGCAGGGGCCATGTCTCATTCTTTTTTATACCTCTCAGCCATCAGATTGTCTGGTGAATATTTGATGTTTAATAAATTGGGACTGAGGATGAGGAAGTGATGCCAAATTTCAGGTAAGACATACTTTTTCTACACTTTAGGAACTTAACATAGACATTGTGTAAGCACATATGCCTAGGACATCCTCTTCAAAAGAAACTCATTAACTCCATTGGGGCAGTGACCAAATCTGTCTTATTCACCACTAGTTCCCAAGTGCCTTGAACACTACCAGGCACATAGGAGCTATTAAGTAAATGTTTGTTGAATAGATGAATGAATAAAACTAAGACCTGGAGGATGGGTAGTTAGAATTTCCAAGATTAACTGGAAGTAGAGAGAGAATATAGACCTGGAAAAAGAGAAGAAAATAACAAACTTAGTGGTAATATGTTTAATTTTGTTTTCCTTCCACCTCTAAGCTGTAGCTTAAATCTCTTCTACATACCAGAAAGTGATAACCAGGAGACCCTGTCTTGTTGACACTGGTCTGCAAATGGCTGCTAGTCTATGGCAAGATAAGTACGGAAATAGAGCGTAAGCATTTAGAAACTTGCACAGTAAGTTGATACTGCGTGACACCCAAGCATGTGATCACTGGATTTGTCTTGTTAAACACTGTAGAGACCAGTTTGGGTGTTGTCAAACTTGCATAGTGAATCACACATGGTGTACACTGCACTCTGGTCATGCATAGTAGGAACATGGACTGGCCCAGGACATGCTAGGGAGACATGGTCCTTCACCACATCACTGGAAGGCAGCTGAGTGGAATACTTGGCTGCGTAGTCTAGTAGTCATAGTTATATTAAAATATTAATGATATTGTTTGTCATATAAAGTTGTTTCTGACTTGCTGTGATCATGTGTTGTCTCTGTTGCTGATTTGAGAAGGATTGAACTAGCCACATACTCCCAGTCAACCAAGTTGAGTTAGAACCTGTGTGACAGTGTTTTTCTCTATTTAAAACTAGCTAGCCTTGCATGGCTGTTTAACTTGCTCCTTTGGCCTCATCAGTATTATCCTGTCATCAAATGAGCTAATTAAGCTGTTTTCTATCCATTGATCAGAGAATATGAAAGCTTGAAGGTGACTCTAGCCATCTTCTGATCCAACTCCCTCCTTTTTCAGAGGCAACTGAGGCTCAGAGAGGTTAAAAAACATGTCCTAGGTCACCCAGTTATTTAGCAAAAGAATTGGAACTAAAACGTTAGGGTCCTCTACTCCTAGGTTATTGTGCTTTTCCACTTTACCCTGAGGTTCAGTAAAATCCTTTCAGATTTTGCAATATCCAAGTTTTATCTCCGTTGTAGTAAGTTATGAACCCCTAATTTGATAGAGGACCTGAAATGGACAGATTTTGTTCACCAAATAATTATAGATGGTATGCCTTTAAGAAAACTCAATATTTGAAATTATGAACAAGGGAAAAGAAGAACAAGAAGAAAGCATTTATATATAAATATTCATATATATTTATATATACATAAATTATATGTTAATAATAGCAAAATAATATGTGTTTATTTATGAATGAAGTCTTATAACAATACTTGCTGAGTAGAAGGGTGTTACTACTATTTATTATAGTTCAGTCCCAAAAGGAGGATAAAACTTCACATAAAAGTATGTATTAACACAAAAATAGGATGCAACTTAGAATATATTGATTCAAGCGCATTTTCAGAAATGAAACTGTTAGAGAAAATGAGATCTCTTCATACTTGTGAGTTAAAATAGGAGGTAATGATGGAGAACTGGGTAGGAGAATTCATGTCCCTCAAAATATCATGCCTAACTTAGCAGGTTTCAGTGTGATCTCACTCAGGTGTTGGCAAACTATGACCCATAGGTCAATTCCTACAGCTACCTGTTTTTATAAATAAAGTTTTATTGGCACACAGCTATGACCATTCATTTACTATCATTTATGGCTACTTCCATGCCATAATTTTAGATTTGAGTGGTTGTAATATGCTTTATGGTCTGCAAAGTCTAAAATATTTACTATCTGGCCCCTTATAGGAAAAGTTTGCCGACCTCTGGTCTTAGATGCGTATCTGTTTTATAACTCTAATTCTACTACCATCAGGCAAGGAGTCTTTGTTTGGAATCCCACGTACCTGAGTTCTGATGAAGAAGGAAGGAAATGAGCTTTAATCATCTTGTTCAGAAGCCTGTTTTAAAATCCTGTTGCAAACTGCCAGTTTTTAGTCTATGTATGACCTCCTGGTGATCCTGGGAGAATGAAATTAACCACCTCTGAAACAAACATTCAATCTTTTTATTTTTACCACTTTCTTGGGAGAGTAATAAATGTAGTCAATGACTCTGGATTCTATTACTATGTAAGAGCTCTTTAAAAACATCTAACCATCTGCTTAATGGCCAGTAATATGTTTCTAATGGTCACTCTCGATAAGACACTTTTAGTTCACTACTGTATAATAGTCGTCCAATAGCCAAGAGGCTCCTGAAGTAATATGATCAAGGGCCAGTTCCCAGCTCTGTAGTGGCAGAGGCCTGGAGATAGTTCTAAAGAGAAAAATAGAGTCCCTCTGAGAGTTACATGTGGAAACTCTCTTCTGTTTGATGAAACCCTGGGGATACAGTGAGTGCATGGTCCACAAGTTGTTTAGATTAATATAAACATAGAACTTTGATTTTTTGGCATTTACACATCCAGTACAGTTGCAACTGGAGGTTGACTTAATTAATATCTGTCCTTTCATTTCAGATGACATACACTGAACTGTTGTCACTGAGAATCCTGCATCCCTGGTCTGGGCCCAGCAGCTGTTGACAGTTTGGAAAATTATGAGTTTCCCAGCTTAAAACAGACTAAACTGCAGACAAAACAAGCCATTAGCTGAGTAAATACTGTATCTCTGTTTGGCTTCTGTAAGAAGAACGAGATTAGCACGAGAGTTTAGTGTTCATAATTATTAGTAGGAGGCAAATAGTAGGCTCAGGCTGACTGGAGATTGTTTCATTATATCCAATTAACACCCACTTGATTATTCTTAATTACTTCTGCTTGATGATAGAGGAGTAAAGATGTCATACTTCAAATGTACAAGTAACAGCTGGGTCATCAATACACATATATTTGTAATATATCCTGCTCATTTTGGAGTGGCTATTTAATATAGTCTCAGTAGAAGGAAGG